TAGAATATCTAAATAAACCTATTTTAGAAAAAGAAATTGAACAGTCCATAAGTGAGCTTCCTAAGAAAAAATGTTCTAAATTGTTATTGATTAGAGAAATGCAAATTAAAACAACTTTGAGATACCATCTCATACCTATCAGATTGGCCAAAGTGATAGAAAGGGGAAATGACAAATGTTGGAGGGGATGTGGAAAAACTGGGACACTAATACACTATTGGAACTGTGAACTGATCCAGCCATTTTGGAGAGCAATCTGGAATTATGCCCAAAGAGTTATAAAGCTGCATATACCCTTTGACCTAGCAATAGCATTATTAGGTCTGTTTCCCAAGGTGGTCAGCAGAAAAAGAAAAAGAACCTATATGTTCTAAAATATTTATAATAGCTCTTTGTAGTGGCAAGGAACTGGAAATTGAAGGAATGCCCATCAATTGGGGAATGGCTAAACAAATTGTGGTATATGATTGTGATGGAATACTGCTGTACTGTAAGAAATGATGAGCAGGTTGATTTTAGGAAAACATGGAAAGTCTTGAATGAAATAATGAAGAGTGAAACGAACAGAACCAAGAGGATGTTGTATATAGCAGTAATATTATTTAAAGAGCTATTCTGAGTTATATGAATATTCAAATTAACTACAAAGGACCTATGAAGGAAGATGCTACCCATCATCTCCAGGGAAAGAACTGATATAAGAACTATGTGTTGTATAGTTTCACATATATATATATATATATATATATATATATATATATATATATATATATATATATATATATATATGTATATGTCAAGTGTTGGCCTTCTCTAGTGTAGGGTTGGGAGAGGAGGGAAATAGCTTGGAACCCAAATGTAACAAAAAATAAAAATAAAAAAGAACTTCTTATCATACCTCCCCCACTCTATATTTGGGAAGTTGATTTTTTTTTTTTACCTCAAGAGTAAGATTTTACATTTATTTCTATTGAATTTTGCCTTATTAGATTCAGTCCAAAGCTCTAGTATGTCAAGAGCCTTTTGGTTCCTGACCGTCATCCATGATGTTGGGCCATCCTTTCCAGAAATGTGTCACTGAAAGATTTGAGCATGCTATCTATGCCTTTATGCAGCTCACTGATTAAAAATGTAGCACTATGCTGACAAATTTGCCAAGGAAATAAAAATTACAAACTTAAAATACTGCTAACCTGATTAACTTTAATGAACAATTTTGGACCCAGAGAAAAGAAAAGGAAGCATATCTCTATCCCTTAGGTGAAGAGGTAAGAGACTAAGACTACATGTTCAGGTTTATAAAAATTTACACCATGAAAAAGTGAAAGAAGACGGAAAAGTTGTCTTTTCTCACAATTGTGAACAAAGAATGGATCACTGGACACAACAGAGACAAGAATAATTTTTTTTTGTCTATCTGTGATTTCATTCAGGGGTGAGGAACTTCTGATGAAGAAATCCTTCCCTCCTCCAGCATATCTGTTACTGTTCTTCAACATCCCAAAACACAAACAGCATGAACATCTTGCCATTTGCCACCCACTGTCCCCTCTCCCCCTAACTTCCAGGCACCCTGCTTCCTCAGACCCCACGAGCAGTAATCTATTACATTTTGAGATCTGCCTTTGGTATCTGCCCTAGATTGGTAACTCTTCATCTCAGCCCTCTATATCAAGCCAGCCCTGGACCATACTTCATCCTAGCAAGCCATCCATGAGGACACTGAGACAAGCTAGTATATCCATTTTGCCATCTGCCCTGCCCTGTGTTGGAGGAATCTGCCTTGCCCCTCCCCACCATTTTCTACCTCTTGGTCTGGTAACAATGATCAGGTCAATATCACCTTTGCTGCTGGAAAGAGCAAGACTGTCTATTGCCATATGGCTCCTCTTAACAATCCCTGTGTCTACCCTAGATCAATTCTCCCCTCCTTTGGCCATCAATCAGAATAGAATATAACTCTTTGAGGGCAAGGACTTTTTCATTTTTATTTTCTTTGCATACCTTGGACCTTGTACAGTTCATGGAACAAAGTAGGCACTTGATAAATGTACACTAGATGAAATTAATTTAGTCTTAGTCTCAGAGACACTGAGAGGTTATGTGAATTGCCTACAGTCACACAGTCAGTATGTGACAGAGTTAGGACTTGAACCCAGGTCTTCTTGACTCTGTCTTTCTATCTACTACTTGGATTATATAAAAATGGCTTTTGCACAAATTAAATATACCCAGCTAGAATAAGAAAATGGATGGATGGGGAAAAAAAATCTTTGCACAAACATTTCTGACAAAGTCCAGCATCCAAAATCCAAATGGAATTGATACAAATCTATAAGGGCCACTTTCCAGTCAACTGGTCAAAGAGTATTAAACAAACAGAATTTAAAAGAAGAAATGCAAATAATAACCATCTGAAAGTTTTGAACATTACCCCAAAGAGATCAAAGGAAGAGGAATAGGACCCATATATATGAAAAAATATTTATAGCAGCTCTTTTTTATGATGACAAGGAACTGGGAACTGAGAGGGTACCCCACCCATCAATTGGGAAATGGCTGAACAAATTATGATGTAAAATGTAATAAAATATTATTGTGCTATAAGAAATGATTGAAGGGAATGGCTTCAGAGAAACTTGAGAAGACTTGTCTGATCTGATTGCAATGTGAAGTGAGCAGAATCTGGATAATAATTTATATAATAACACTGTAAAGACAAATAATTTTGAAAGACTAAGGAACTCTGACCAACCGTGATGCCTCATGATGAGGACTTATGATGAAACATGCCACTCACCTCCTAAAAGAAGTGATGGATTCAGAATGCAGATTCAAGACATAAATTTTTTGGACATGACAATTCAGGAAATTTTTTTTTGACTATACATATTCATTATAAGGGTTTTTATTTTTTATTTTCTTTTTCTGTCAATAGGGGGAGTGATGAAAGGGAAAGAAAATAGACTTTTAATTGAAAAAATTAAATTTTAAAGTATCTCCAATATTGATGATAAGTAGACAAATGCAAATTAAAACAATGGGGAGGAGGGGGAGAATGGGGCTGTTTTACCTGGAGGTATCTGATATGACAGCCCATGGTATTACCACATACCCATGAAACAAAGATTATCAGAGATATAGAAAAATTCAGTGTTTACAGGGACTTGGAAAAGCAGGCACGTTACTGCTGGTGGGTCTGTGAAAATTAGTCCAACTATTTTGGAAAACAGTTTAGAGAAAGCAAGAAAAGTTAACAAAATTGTTCAAATTCTCTGATTCAGTGATCTTGCCACTGGCTTTATAAAGAGGTCGTTGTCAAGAAAGTACTAATCTCTATGAAACTATTCGGAGCAGCACTACTTGTGATAGCATAGCTTGGAAACAAACCATGAGCTCAATAACTGGGGAAGGGTTCAACATATCAAAGTACGTGAATACAATAGTGTTATTGAATCATAAGGAAAACTGAATATGACTAATCCAAATGAGGTGACAGAGTAGACAAAGCAAATCCCAAAAAACCATAGGCACCATTACTATTTAAATAAAATATTTAAAACTATTTAAATGAAATTAACTATTTAGTTTACAACTATTTAAATGAAATATTCAAAAATACTAGATAATATTGGCATTAATTTACAAAGTATTCACTCATTTGTTGTAACAAAGGACCAAAATTATTAACTGTGTATGTCGGGCAGGAGCAATCATCCTTTGATACTATTTTTTTTAGCTGTTTTCAGGGATCATACGTTATGAGCGGCAGAGGTATTGCACCATGTGTTGAAACAAAATTTGTCAAAAGCAAAAAACTAAGCAGCTGCACTTCCTGCCTTTACTTCCTCTCCTCAGCCTCTGATAACTTGACTTCTGACCATACAATTCAAACTGCTCTCTGAAGTTACCAGTGAGTGCTATCTTAATTGCTAAACCTTCTCTGTCTTCTCTCAGTTTTCATCCTCCTTGACCTCTCTGCAGCAGTCAACACTGAATTATCCCCTCTGCCCACCCAGGGCTTCCAGGACACTGGCATCTCCTCCTGACCACACCTTCTTGGCCTTCTTCACTCCTCCTGCTTCTGCTGCTCCCTTGGGTGTTCCCCAAGGTTCTGTCTCTTTTCTCTCTATGTTCTACACTGAAGTTCTCAAGGCTTTAATGATCTCCTTTGCAGGAGACACACCCAAAGCCACACATCCAGCCATTACTTATTTCTCCCTTAAATTTCAGACTCATTTATCAATTGTCTCTCTGTGGGGTAACTCACCTGGCTGTCCCAGGAACAACCTCAAACTCATCATTCGGAAACTGAGCTTAGCATCTCCTCCCAAAATCTTCTGTTGATAGTACCAATATTCCTCCCAGGTAACCAGGCTGAAAACCTTAGTCCACCTTTGATTAAGTCATGTTTCTCAACTATATAATAGGGATAATAATAGCATCTACCTTACAGAGTTGATATGAGGAGCAAATGGGATAAATTTTAGTGCAGTGTAGAGCACACAGTAGACATTTAATAAATGCTTGTTCTCCATTCCTGAGGCAGCTAGGTAGGCACACTGGATAAGAGTGCCAGGCCTGGAGTCAGGAAGACCTGAGTTCAAATGTGGCCTTAGACACTTATTAGCTGTATGACCTGGGAAAGTCACTTAAATCTCTGCTTGCCTCAGTTTCCTCATATGTAAAATGGGGATAATAATAGCACCTAGCCCCCAGGATTCTTGTGGAAATCAGACGAGATGATATTTGCAAAGCGTTTAGCACAGTGCCTGCTACATAGAAGGTGTTATATAAATGCTTATTCCCTCTCCCACTTTGGCCTAACTCACACTATTACTATTCCCAGTGTTTTCCCAGTGCACTTCATCTGGATCTGAATGGAAGAATGGGATTGGGGGGCAGGGGGTAGAGGAGAATCAGGATAGAGATGGAATTGGGTTGGAATGGGGGAAAGGGAGAGTTCAGGCAGAAGGGATAGGAATCAAAGGGCTTCTCACCGAAGATGTGGCCTGGATGAGTGGGGTTGCATTTTCCTGTGCCCCGTTTACCCAGTTGACATCAGCTCCATGGGCAAGGGCATCAGCCATGGTGGGAAGAGATGGGGGTGGCCCAGCCGCCCAGAATAGCAAGGCCCCAGGGTGTAAGCATCCCAATTCACCAGAGGGGAGCGCTGTTGGGGGTTTAACCATTAACCAGTGTGGGGATGCGTCCCTCACCCCTAGCCCTCCATGCCCAGATGCAGAAATGACAGTGAAGTGTGAAGGAAGATCCAGGCTAAACTACTGGGAGCCAATTTGGGGGTTATAGTAGAGGAGGCAGAAGCTCAGTCCAGATGCCTGGGTCTAAGTCCCTTAGGGGAGTATGAGGGCAGGTGTTTAGAGTTCCAAAAGAACTTCTAAAAGTGTGGTTAGCAAACAGTGTACAAGGTTGTGTATGGAGGCAGGGGGCTAGATTGTATGGTCCTACCCTAACTCCTTAACCTAGTTTTAACGATATTCTGGCCCTGATAACCTCTCCAACCTTATCTCCTTCTGTACCCCAATATCATCCTGATCTAGTGAGGCTGGTCTCTTGAGTTTAGAAGAGTAAGGGACCATGCCTAGTCCTCTGCCTTTGCTTTCACCAATTCCCCATATCCCCAGCCTACTCTTTGCGTCTCCAAATCCTTTTCATTCTCCCAAACCCAACCCAACACAACCTTTTCCACATGTCCTCCCTTATTATCCTGGCCTACAGTACAATACCTCCCTCCTCTGAGTAGTGTCTCTAGTCTTTATAGTCTAGGACATACAACATAACTCAGTTACAGTTTTGAACTTTCCCCCCATTGTTTTGGCCTTAAAATCTCATTGCCCCTATTTAGATCATCAAGGTCAGGGACTGAGCATCACTATAGTAGTCTCCTTATAGTGCCCATAGCAACAGTTTGAAATGTCTCCCTAAGAAGATCTAAAAATCCCTTCTGGTTGATTCGTATACATACCTGGTTTGGCCCCCAGGTTCCCTGGTCGGGGTGGAAGCTGGGGTTTAGGGGGCAATGGAGGCTGCCCTCGTGGGTGGCCTCGTCCCACTTTTCGTCCTCTGACCACAGGCAGCTTGGTCAGAAATTTCTTCTCCACATATTTGGCATGAATCCATGCCTCCTTCTCCTGCCTTATGGGGGTTGAGGGGAAGTATAATGGAAGAGGGAAGGATGAAAACAGGATCATTTTCCCCTGCAATCCTAGGGCTCCTAATCTTCTCAAATGTCTTCCTTTCTTAGGATCCTTCTTCCTGTCCAAACCAGTATGTCAGTTCTCCTCCAGCCCCAGGAAAACCCAGGCAACTAAAACTCAGTTTCTTATGTCTGCTTATTCCCTTCCTATCTTCACTGCCCCCCACCCTCCATCCCCTTACCGGGAACAAGTTGGTCCAGGTTTCTTCACAGACATTTCCTGTATTCGAGCTTCATAGATCTGGTTGATGACAACGTTCCCCAACTCACACATCAGCTTCAAGGAATGGTGGAGATAGCGTGAAAGCAGAGGCATGAAATTACAGACAAGACCCTCCAGCACCCTCACCCACCCACATACTCCAAGCTCCTGAAGGCTTTCCTGCCCCTCTGCTTGTCACCCCACTACCACCCCAACTCTTTTCTAGCTGTATTATAATCACCTTCACCAGTTCAGGCTCCCAGGAATCAAGAGTCAGAGATCGGACTTTGGAGAAATGAACCCCTAGGCTCCTGTAGAGGAGGAACAAGTGGATGACATGACCAATCAGGGTTGTTGTAGGTTTGAGGGAACATATTTGGTGTAGAGAGTTCATGAAGAAAGAGGGAGAAAAAAGTATTTGAGCACACACATACACCCTCCAGTCAAGAAAGTTCAAGCTGAAAAGATAGAGACCAAGGTAGAGTCATTCAATTTTCTGTGGCTTCCTGATGGGGTTAGACCAACAACCCAGAGAACTGTATATTTAGACAGTGCTAAACTTTTATTATGCATTTTTAAACCTCAGCCTCTTGGGATATGATAGGCTATGGAGATTAAACCTCCTCCAAACCTTGGTGCTAGGGGCTCTGTGCCTTGCATTGGGAAATTATTGGGAAAAGACTACTGTAGCTTTGAAAACGGGAAAATCACACAGTGTAGCCCTTTATGGTGTTACTGTTATAAGAACCTCTTGGGCAGAGACTCTTTTCCTCCTCTTCCAGTCTCCTCTTAGCACTCAACACTGAGCTTTTTGCACTTAGCAGGCCTGTGAGCAAAGTCTAGTGAATTGATCTGAGAGCAAGAGAGGATGGTGGCAGTCAAACTAGGGCTTGAGAAGCTAACCCTCATTAAATGCTGCTATTATTTCGTTTCACATTTTTCTCTTCATTTTTCTCCTCTCCATCTTAGGGGGACAGAACTCCTTTCCTGGAACCATTTTCCTTTCTTTGCTCCCTCAGACTGAAAACCAGTGAAGAGAGTGGCTCCTGTTTACCTATTGACTCAGTTTAATAAGAACCTTCCTGTCTCCAGCCCTCAGTCAGGAGAAGAGATACAGAGGAAGGGATGAAGGAAAACACTGAAAGTCTGAGGAGGGAAAAGTGGGGTTTGGTGAAAGGGTGTGGGGGTGGGAAGCACTAAGCCCTAGTAGGGAAATGAATAGACAGGAGGGGTTGTAACATGGGGAAGGCATCTCCGGGCCTCAATTTCTTCCTCTGTAAAATGAGGGGGTTGGACAAGATCAGCATTTCCTTGTGTTCTTTGGAATGCTGGTGTTTTCTGTGATGTGAATGGGAGCTCTGTGTAAATATGTCTACGCCAGTGATCTTTTGCCTTGAAAATATTAAATGTGAAATTCCTGTATCTAACACATTTTTACATGTAGCCATTTTTCTGTTGGGAAAAAAAAAGGGCTCAATGGCCTCTTTTTTGTTTCACCATTTCCTAAACCTCTTCTCTTCAGCTCTATTATAGTCCAAACTCTCAGATACTTCCACCAGACCAGCATTTATGAATTCTGCCAAGAGATTTCAAGTCTCCAATCATTCTGCAGCCAAACTGATTTGGGGAATTATGGGCTAGAAGATCTCAGAGGTTCTTTCCACCTTTGGCATCCTAAGGTTTTATGACCCTAGGGAGTGATGAAGGTCATGGGTTTAATAGACTAAGGGGGTGGTGAAGTGGTTCCAAAGGGCTTGTATAAGGGATTTGGGGGCCAGGTAGGTAGGATCTTCTCTAGTATAGAGAAACAGGAAATGTGTTAAGGGTAAGGAGGGGATATGGAGGAAGAAGCTCCGTGGGAGATATTCTAGAGATAAAATGTTGTGAGATAAGGGTTGTGACCTGTGGATTCCGGAGCACTGGATACAGAGGGTCACGCCAAGATTGATGCTTGCCCATTCTGGTGCAGGTTCCCGGCAATCACAGCACTGGGCATTTCCTTCTACACTCTGTACCTGGGCTGCCACACGTCCTGCCACACTGGACCCTCGGCCTGTACCCCTGGATGCTCCTCCACAAGCTAAGGTGGAAGCTAAGCCTGAGGCCGAGTGACAGGGGCCCTGCAGGAAAAAGATACCTCAGAAGAAACCCCACAAAACACTAGAAGGGTTTATGACTAATTAAAAGATTAAGACCAGTCAGACTCTCCCTACTTCCCTCCCAGTCTCTCTGTGCCCTAGATGAATAACAATGACTCACATTTACATAGACTTTTAAGGCTTACAAAATGCTTTCATGTAAGACAGAACAATTGGAGACTTGAAATCTAGAGTGTGTAGAGACCAAAGATCACTCTTGTGCCGACCAGAACACAGAATTGCAAGGCAATGATCAACAAATGATAACGATCGCAATCCCTGTGAATTGCATAGAACACCAAGGGCATGGAGGGGAGCAGGGAGAAAGGGTAGGTGAAGGAGCCACGGGAATATCTGCTGGGCCCAGGGGTCTGGGTATGATTAAGAACTAAAAAGGCTCTCTGACCAGACTGATACTTAGCAAGCAATCAGATAAGACCCAGAGAACAGAAGGACGCAAAGGAGGAACTGAGTCAGTTCAAATAGTAGACTTAATCTTAGTTTAGGGGTAGGGCACCTGCCCTCAAGGCCACATGTGGCCTTCTAGGTCCTTGGGTGCGGCCTTTTGACTGAGTCCAAGTTTTACAGAACAAATCCTTTTATTAAGGGGATCTGTTCTGTGAAGTTAGGATTCCTCAAAGGGCGGTACTTGAGGACCTAGAGGGCCACAGGTGACCTTAAGGCTGCAGGTTCCCCACCCGTCTAGCCTAAAAGTCTCGGCTAGGGGTTGGGCTGCTGCGTGGGTATGGCTCACCATATCCTCAAATTCCTGATTCAAAGAGAGAAACTCAGTAGTCACATATAATCCAGCAGATGTTAACAAAGAGCAGGGGATGGCTAAGAAGGTGACTAATGGAAGGTCATCAGAGGCGCCCAGCAGAGTAGCACGTTTCTAGCAGCCTTGAAGACATAAGCAGCTCCTCATCAGACGTGAAATGTAATACAATATAGCCCTGCCTGCATTGGGGAGGGGTCTGGGGAGTTCTTGTCATTTGATTTGTCTTGTGTCTGATTCTTCATGATCCCATTTGGGTTTTTTTGGCAAAGATATTGGAGTGGTTTGCCATTTCCTTCTTCAGCTCATTTTACAGATGAGGAAACTGAGGCAAACAGGGTGAAGTGACTTACCCAGGGTCACCCAGCTAACGTCTGAGGCCAGATCTGAACTCAGGAAGTTGAATCTTCCTGACTCCAGGCCCAAGCACTCTATCCACTGCGCCACCTAGCTGTCGGATTAAATGTCTTTTTGCTTTGAACTAGTCCCTTCTGGTTGGCCCAATAAAAGGAAACATGTTGCTTTAAAGGTCCATGAGCTTCCATTTTGAGGTGATGCCACACCCACAGATTGCCTGAAACCTGGTGTAGCTTTCTGGGAGGGGCTACAAGTTGAAAATCAGGTATCATAGAGTAGGATGCATTTCTACTTTATAGAGGAGGCGACAGAGGGCTGGAGGAATCAACTTGCTGAATGTCACATGGCTATTACATGGTAGGAGCTGATCTAGTGTTTTTTGTTTTTGTTTTTAACCTATTGCCCCATGTTTCCCTTCATTGCCATTTGCCTGCTCACCCACCTGGTCTAGAGAGCCCCTGTCCTCCTGGGCCTGGCTGAAGGCAGTAGCGATGCTGCTTTGCACAGCACTGACCCACAACTGAAGAAGCTGCTCTGAGTCGGCCTGGAGGAGGCAGGACCTGGGGAGGCAAGGAAGAAGGTTATAGGGGCAGGACATAGAGGCAATAGACAGACGTAGGAATGACTGTTGTTGTTCAGTTGTGTTCAACTCTTTGCGACCTCATTTGGGGTTTTCTTGGCAAAGATATTGAAGTGGTTTGCCATTCCCTTCTCCAGTTCATTTTGCAGATGATGAAACTGAGGCAAACAGGGTGAAGTGACTTGCCCAGGGTCACCCAGCTAGTAAGTGTCTGAGGCTGGATTTGAACTCAGGTCTTCCTGACTCTGGGCCTGGCACTCTATCCACTGGGCCACCTAGCTGCCCATGGAGATGATACCACCCCGAATTTAGAGAGTTAGTTTGTGTTTACAAAGGACTCTCCATATGGTACTCCCATGAAGTAAACAGTACAAATATTATCTTTTTTTTACCTTACAGGAAGCTGAAGGTCACATCACTAGTAGGTGTCAAGAGCCAAAAACTCAAGACTCCGGTAATGGGGAGGGAGATGTGGGAAGGGGGCATGTATACAAGTAACTGATGAGTGAGTATATTAGAAACCTGTGGGGCCTAAATGGGTGATGAAAGACAGGTCCCCTTCCTAACCTCTCTTCCCCACCCCACTCCACCCCTCTCTCCCTCACTTGCTGGGGGAGACAACTTCAAAGCAGAATCTTCTTTCAGAGTCAGGGCAGAGTTTCACTGTGCACAGTCGAAGATCTTCCACAACCACAGTCATAGGATCCTAAGGGATGCAAAGGTATCTGGTCTGGCAGCCATCCCTCCTGCCCACCCTGATGCCAAGGACTCAGACATCTAGCCAATTGCTACCCATCAGTCTCTTCCCCTTTCAGGGACCCCTGTGTGTTTTAGGCCCCCAAACACTGCTACTCACCTTGTATTTCTTCTGATAAACCAGCTGGTTGTTCTGAATGGTGAACCAGCGTCTAGGATGGGGAACTTAGAATGAGATGGAGTGGGTGGGATGGAGAAGAGTGGGAAGAAACTAGGGGAACTAGATAAGTGGGGGAACATGAGATCGTTTTTTATAACTTGATATAGCTGAACAAAGGGCTAAAAGGGGCATGGGGAAATACATGGAGGAAGGGAAGGTGGGGCGACAACCACCTGCCTCCACAAGGAGAAGAGTTAGGTGTGGCATGGGTGGAATCACCCCAATAAAGTAAAAATCAAAGAATCATAGAAAGTCAGAACTGGAGAGGCCCTTAGAGATCACTAATCTAAATCCCTTATTCTACAGAGGAGGAAAGTGAGGATCAAAGAGGGATAATGACTGGCCAAAAGTCAGAGTGAGTCAGTGGGAAAGCTTAGTGTAGAATTCAGGAAAGGAAGTGGTAGCAGTGACCTCACCTGCTCCACGTCTTGAAAGCATTACTGGCCCTTTTGAAGAGGTGTCCTTCCATGACCAGCCCCCCTGGTCCTTCCTTCAAGCCTGGTTCAGGTTCCTCTCCACTCAGCTCCTGGAGAGACCAAACAAAGTACAGGATGATGGGCCAGTGGTCCTGGTAGTCAGAGAACAGAAACTTTCCCACCCCCATTCCACCACTCCTCACCTGCTCCTTCAGCAGCACATGTTTCTGCTCCATGTCTCTTTTTTCCCGTGCAGACTCCAGGACAAGCTTATGCAACTGGAAGTAAAGGGTAGAGAAGAATCACGGATCTAGTCACCAACCTCCCATCATCACTGGGGAGTGGGGACAAAGTGTGCATGGGGAAGGGAGAAAGGTTGGAAGGAAGACCTCAACCATTGCAGCCTGACAAAAGTCTCTAATACACACTTCTCTTGTGCCAGTTATTTTTGTACATGTTCCTCCACCCACACCGCAGCCCCTTACATTTGCCCTTGAAACTTCTCCTTCCTACCCCCCCAAAAAAACCTTCCCCCACCTTCAATTTCTTAACCCTACCTCAAGTACCACCCGAGGCATCCCTCACCTGGGCCCCCAGCTCTTTGTGGTAGACTCCTAGCCCATTCAGTTCTTCATGACCCAGCTGGAAGTATATTGCCTGAGCTTCCACCAATCGAAGTACCTTGGAAGGGTGGGTGGAGGAAGGAAATGCACAATAATCAAGGAATCATAGCAGTTGAGTTGTGGGGACAGGAAGGCAATGGCTTCCTACCAATAACCCTACTGAAGGCACTAACCTCTTTTCTACTCTGATGTTGTCTGTAGATGGCTTATAAACGTGGAAAGTCAGAACATCTTGAGTTGGTGTTCCCTAAACCACTCTTCATACAAAAGCCAATTATATTGAGAAGAGGTAGGAGAGCTAAATGGTAATTCTTTATGGAGCAGTAGAGTTCTGTGGATTTTATTTACCTGGGTGGCTTTTCCCTGTCTCTGTCTTCAATCCTCTATGTTGTAAGTGTCCAGTGGAATACTTTTTTTTGCATGCTATATTGTGCTGTGCTGAAAGTTGCCTGAGTGTTAGGCAAAAAAAATGCCAAAGATTTGGTCAATGACAACTCTGAATCACAAGATCAGGAAAAGATATGTTTGTATCACTAGGTCCCTGACACAGGGATGCAGGGGGCTGGGAGGAAAGGAGAGCCTGGTATGTGCTTGACAGCTCTTTGGTTTTTTTTCTATCTCTATTTTTCATTGTTTTGTTGCTATTCTCTATCAGAAATGTTCGTTCTCACACAGAATGAGTTTGCCTCAATCTTTCACCTATCTCTTCCCCTTCTGTCCCACCTCCATCTTCCCAAAGCCCTATTGCCCCAACTCACAAACTCCATGATGTCAAACTTCCTCTTGTCCTGGATCACATTGATCTGAGGAACACAGAGATAAGGCCAAATCCTCCTGATAACTCCAGAGCGCTTGGGTGGAGGCAGGATGGGGGTGGGGGTGGGGGGGGAATAGGGAGGAGGTAGAGCAAATATTCCCTAATCCCCAGAACCATCCTACAAGTACAGAATCAGAGAATGTTAGAGCCAGAATGTCTCTAAGAAACTCAACCTCCACAATTGAGTAAACTGATGCCCATACGATATGATTCCTCTTAGTCTTCATATCTTCAACATTATTCGTTCCTCTCCCATTCTCAACCTCCTACTACAGAACACTGGGAGGGGACTGTAGCATTGCTAATTCCCAATCACATTGGTGGGAGAAGGGAGAGGACAGAGTGTCACCTGCAATACATAGTCCAAGGCCCGTCCTTGGTAGCCTGCTCTGACTGCCTTCAGTGTAGACATTGCTTCTTCTGCTTCATGTGCCCGGCGCCGGGGGACTTCAGCATTGTGACTGAGAGCTGCCTCCAGGGACTCTGCCCCTCTCCAAAATTCTCTTTTGGCTTCCCAAAAACCACGGAGACTCCTAAGGGAGAAAGGAAAGATCAAAGACTCTTACTGCAACCCCTCAAAAGAAATTATGGTGTACATAAGGTGTACATAAGGAAAAGCCCCCTTTATATACTCCCAAACTTATTTTTTTTCTTTATTTTTTTTTAATTTTTAGGCAATTGGGGTTAAGTGACTTGCCCAGAGTCACATAGCTAGTAAGTGTCAAGTGTTTGTTTTTGGTCTGAGGCCAGATTTGAACTCAGGTCTTCCTGATTTCAGGGCTGGTACTCTATCCCCTGTACCACCTACCTGCCCAACACATGCTCCCAAACTTATATGGTACATTTCTAAACATGAGGCTTCTGGGATATGATTAGAGATAGAGAAGGTCTTATTCTCCCCTTCAAAATTTGGGGCTATGTGTGGAGGCTATGTGATAAATTATATCTAGCTTTGGAGGCTACAAATGGGGAGAATATAGGGCTCTGTAATGCTTCCGTTCCTCTAATTTTGGGAAGTTCTTGAGTCTTCCTTTCAAAGAGAAGTCCCTGAAGGGTTAGGGGAAAAAGAAATAGGGTACTAGGGGAATGAGAAGACTTAGCATGGATCCAGATGTTTAAAAAACAAAACAAAACAAAACAAAACCTTACTCCTTCACAAAACTCTGGATCTGTTGCTTCAATGTCTGTTGGGTGGCATTCAAGAGGTCCTGGTAGAAAGCAGGTGATTAGAGCCTGAAACACTGCCTTTAAAAAAAAGAGAGACTTTTTTTCCCCCTGTGTTTCTCCTCCACCCCCCACCCCCATCCTACCCCACTCACTTCATGGCAATTGATTTTGTGACTCAGGCTCTCTGTAAATTTGTCCAGGCATTCCTAAAGGAAAGTAAGGTAAGTGAGACCCCAGTGAGGTACATCCCTAGAACTTGACACCAACCCTCGGCCCCTGACTCTTGCCTTTTATCTTCAAGTTTAGTAAATTTCTGTGTAAGAGGGGAGGAGTAAAATTTGATTAGCATTTTTCGAATTATATTTGAAGAACACTGGAGTTCCTCCTTAAGGAAATGCTACTGCTAACAATATCTTTTCCAGTAAAATGTTAAATATGAAATGTCTGCATCAAACATTTGTATATGGCAATTTTTGGCTTTCCTCCCCTATTTTGTCCACAAATTTCCATTTGACCCCAAGGTGAGGTTATCAGTATATTTCCAACTCCAAAGTGATGTGTGGTTAAGTTAATAGAGAAAACTCTGGCCCAGACCTCTGAGGTGCCTTTTGGCTTGTAAGATTTACAATTCTGTACTACTGTGCTATAAGAAATGATGAACAGGCTGACTTCAGAAAAACCTGGAAAGACTTATATGGTCTGATGCTGAGTGAAGTGAGCAGAACCAAGAGGACTTTGTACACAATATTGTGAAACTGAACCCTTCTCAGTATTACAAGGATCTAAGACATCGTCAGAGGCCTCGGGATGGAAAATGCTGTCCACATCCAAAGAAAGAACTATGGAAGTCGAATCGCTATCACTTAATTTTAACTTCTGTTGAGTTTTGTTTCATCTTTCTGATGGTTCCTCCTATTGGTTTTAATTTTTACTTACAACTTCAGTATGTGAAAATATGTTTAATAGGAATGTAAATGTAAAGCCTACATCAGATTGTGTGCCATCTTGGGGAAGGTGGGGCGGAGGAAGGGGGAGAAAAATTTTCAACTCAAAAGCATATGGAAGTGATTGTTGATAAATCAAAATAAATTTTAAAATTTTTTTAAAAAAGATTTACAATTCTGGGATGATGTTATATATTCATTGTGTTCATCATTCCCCAAAACCTCATTCCTTAAATAAACTCTGTATCTTGGTTAGACCACTCTCTGTCTCCTTTTCTCTTTTAAGTCTTCCTTTGTTCCCTAACTACATGATTCTTCTCTTGCTGTTCTCCCATTATATTTAAGAAGCCTCTACTACCCATTTCTTTGGTTTTTCTAACCCTACTCTACCCCTTCTGCTCCCAAGAGAACCTGTCTCTGAAAAGAAATTCTAAGCTACAGTTCTAGGATTTCCCTTCCTGCTTCCCTTCTAATGCCCCATTCTCTGAGACTTACAACCATCATAGGCTCTGGAGGACCGAGGTTTGAGAGTTCCTGAATGCCACTGATGAAGGCTCGACAAGTAGTAAGATAATGGCGCCCACTTTCCAATAGGCTAGAACCGAGCTTGAGGAGCTGGGGAGTGAGGAAAAAATGGGTCATAAGGGTCCAATTCAGGGCCCCCCCAAATCTATTTTCTGACCTGGAGACACCTCTAGGCTATGCTTCTTCACCTTCCTCCCTCCTCAAGTGTACCTTCTCTAGATCATCTTCCCTCAGACCTCCCATGATGTGGCAACTAAGCCAACCTCCTTCACTGTTTCTGTATGTGCACTGAGATCTTGACTTTTGTTCACATCATTTTCTAATCTTCTCCTTATCCCGTCTCCAACTCATCTTCATGTGCCAGAATCCTGTCTTCCTTTCAAAGTCCAACTTTGGTTCCACCAAGAAGCCTTCCCAGTCCACTCTGGTCCATAGGGATCTCTCCCCTCATATGCACTTCTAGAGATCACTGATACCATCTTATTGTTTTCTAAGTTTCATGTGCCAATCTTATATTCCCCTAAAAGAGCAAAAAAGTTCCTCAGAGAACAGATTTTTTTTTAAATTGAAGAAAGAACACTGGATATAAGAGTTCGAAGACCAAGAGTGTAAGTCTCAAAGCTACCATTTATTACCTGTGTGACCTTTGGCAAGTAACCTAACCTCTCTATACCTCATTTTCCCCATCTGTAAAATGAGGATAATAATAATTATGCCAAACTACTTCATAATGTTGAAAAGGGAAAAATTTTGTAAATTTTAAAAGCTACAGAAATGTGAGATTTTTTTTTAATACCCTGAATGTCTTAGAGCTTGATGCTATATACACAGCAGGCACTCAGTAAACACTTGTTGCACTGACTTCCCTTCTTCCCTAGATTCTCCTGCCTCTATCCAGAACCCCTTCCTCTCAGTTTTTGTGATCACCTTCTCCAGACGATTCTCCAATTCTGATACATCTGATTCCACCAACTCAATGGAAGCCCTAGGAAGGAAAAGGTCTTGAAGTTCAAGGTCTGAACTCACATTCTGCTTACCACTGTAGACATGCTAGAGGCAGGTAGGAAAGGATGGACAAGAAAAGAACATGACACCAAGGTGGAAAGGGCCTAGACCTGAAGTCAGAGAACTTGAATCTTGCCTCTGCCATTCACTATCTGTGTGACTTAAGTGAATCATTTCCCCTCTCTGGGCCTCAGTTTCCTGCTCTGTAAAAATTGGGATTATGGGCTTGGTGATCTCTAAGAAGTCTTTGTTCTCCACAGAGTCTGGAGAAGGCTAGAGAGAAACCCTGGGTGCTTTAGCAGACAGTGGGTAAGGCCATAGCAGGAAGGATCAAGAGAAGGGTGGATGTGGTAAGGACAGGAAATTCATAACCACCCCAGAAAGCAGGTGATGGGGGAAGGGAGCTCAGCAAGAGGAGAGACGAATGATAGTTAAGGAGACTGGGAAGGCAGAGACAGACATATGGTGCCATAGGGTGGAATGTCAGAGTCAGGGAAGCCCCCATTTTAGCCCCCATCCTCTTCCCCTTTCAGCCCTGGTTTTACATAAAGTAGGATGTTCAGAAAAGGGTGCAGGAAATCACTTGATATCTACCCTTTGCCCTGTCCTTTCCAGCATCTCCCTCACACTAACCCCCTGACACACACAGATGCACACATACTTACCGGAATCGGGGAGAGTCCTTTAGACACTCCTCAAAGTCAAGTTTGACGGTCATCTTGGGTGCTGTGTAAAAGAGGGCTAACTCTCTCTCTGGAGTGGAAGTGGAAATACAGACTCTCCCCCAGAGCGGAGAAAGCAGATGAAGTAAAGAGTTTAAGAAGGAAAAGTGTCTATCTCTGGGGCAGGAGGGACTATAAGGGAGAGGGTTCTCTAACCCCGGGGGAAGAAGGGGCTACAAATGAAGAGGCTCTTGCCCTATGGGGTCAGAATTGACTGGGAGTGGCAGAAGGTGGGGCCTGAGGTTGGTGGAGGAGGTCTGAGATCAGAGAACTGGCTGGTCCCACCCCTTCCAGGGTGTCTGCACCATTATGTTGCTTCCTTCCCCAGGTCCCTCAGTTTCTGTGTCCTTCATTCCCATCCCTTGTTCTTTATTACTCCCACAATTTCTTCTCCAAGTCTCTGTGTTTTGTTTCCAATTTTCCAACTTCATGCTATCATTACACCCCATAGTCATGTATCATGTAATATTATTGTGCCTTGTTACCTCACTTCCTGGACCCTTTTGTACCACCCCATGTTTCATACTTCTCCCAAGATCTCTCCCTGCTCTCCTACCATTTTCTTATTGCCCAGCACCCATCCTATTTATTGAATCCCATGCACCTGGACTCCTGACTCCTCTTTTTCTTTATTGTCCATCTCTGGGTGGCCATGGCCTGGGGAGGTGGGGTGTCTGTAGTTCTCCCCCTCCCCCTCTTCCCCAGCTTCCTGAGTCTGCTACATCTTCCATTGAACAGTGTCATCCTCCTGACTCCAGTGTAGACGAAGTGTCTCATCTGGAGGGGGGGGGAATTAGGGCGGATTAGGGTTGGGGAGAGTTACTGGGGATGGGGTAGGGAATAAAATGCAGCCAAGCATTCCAAAGGGAGCAATGAGAATACTTATATTACTGAACAGAATGGCTTCCAAGGTATGAAAAGGAGAAGGAAGCTCCCATCTTCACCCCTTTCTATTGTTATTCTGAATAATGTTGCATTTTTAGAGAGCCCCATTATTCTCATAAGGCACTTTTACCTATGTTATTTATTTTGGTCACAGTATGATAGATGGCATATAATTATTGTCCTTTTACAAGTGGAGAAATTGAGGCCCAGAGAGGTAAAGGAACTTATCCAAAGGCCTATAGCTAGGGACAGACCATCCTGGGACTTGAACCTGGGTTTTCTTGTTCTTTCCACAAACTCACAGTAATGATGCTTACAGTGAAGACACCATCTTTTTTCTGTTTACTGTTTTATAAGGCACTTTCATATCATATACACATTGGGGTGGGAGGGGTTCTCATGCAGTGAGAAGTCACCCAGTTGCCCCCACCCCAATTTAAATGTGACCTCCCACTTCCAGCCTTAGCTCCCCTTCTACCTACCTCCCAGTATATCCCAGGCCCAATACTGCCCTGTGACTCATGCCTTCGGGCCCCTTGACTTTCCCCAGCATCTTTGTCTGGAATCTCTGGTCTCTTCCAGCTCAGTTCCTTGGTTACCAGCCAGTGACAGCAGCTAGATATCACAGGGGACCCATTGTGCTTCTGCGTTAGGGCTGTGCCTGGGAAGTTGGTGGGGGAGGAATCAGACCTTGAGTTCCCTGGGCTGTGGGAAGGGAAGGGGGGGGTGGGACCTAGGAGGATCTGGAATAGGTTAACTGGGAGGGTCTGGGAAGGATTCTTGATTGGGAGAGGGAACAGAGTTGGGACTAGAAGTGGGCAAGATGTTTAAGGCAAAACAGTTGGGGAATAGGGTAGGGAGTGGAATGTATCATATGATTTCCATGTTCTAAGATTAAAACAGCTGGCATTTGTGCTCCCATCTATCAAATTATTTTGGAAAAGTTATCTTTTTTTTTAACTAAAAAACATAATACATATCCCTGTTAGGTGGAGGATAAGGGAAGAGGTGGGGGTAGAAATCAAGGGACATTTTAAAATAATTTTTTATAAATATCTACATTTTTTAATGGCAGAACCCCCAATCTACATGTTCCTTAGATATTTATTTTGTATCATCAAATGTTTGTGTCAAAGGGAAAAATCAAAGCCTCCCAAATAACTCACTAAAAGCATTGTTGAACCTTGCCAAGGCAAGGGGAAGGGAATAAGCATTTTATATAGCACCTACTATGTGCCAGGCACTGTACTAAGCACTTTTCATATATCTCATTTGATCCTCTCAACAACTCTGAGAGCTGTTATTCCCATTCAAAAATTGAGAAAAGAGGCAAACAGAGATTAAGTGAGTTGCCCAGGGTCACACAGCTAGTGTCTGAGGCCAAATCTGAACTCAGGTCTTTCTAATCCCGATCTACCCACCTCTGTGTGTGTGTGTGTGTGTGTGTGTGTGTGTGTGTGTGTGTGTGTGTTAGTGGTGGTGGTGGTGGTGGTGGTGGTGGTGAGAACTGGAAACATTCCTCAAATGGATATCAGGAAAGAACTTAGTAGGAAGTGGGGCTGGGGTAGAAAGCAGCAATGGGTATAGCTGGGGAAAATCTTGGAAAGTAGAGGGGTTTGAGAGCACAGGGAGTCACACTGAGATCTCCTGGGGAAAGGTAGTGTCATAGGCCCCCTCACCAGGCTGAGACTGTGTTATAGTGATAGTCAGAGGCTTCTCTGTAGCCTTCTGTTCTCCACTGGGTGCTTGTCCAGCAAGACCAACCAGGTGGACTCCCTGGGAGGTCAGGGGCTTCTCTATCACCCAGGTCAATCCAGAGGTGCCTGTAAGGACCCTGGAGGTCAAATATTGTAAGGCAGTCACCTGACCCCCTGAGTCAATATCTCCACTTTCCACTCCAGTTAGTTATCACTTGGCTCACAAACCTACCTTCCCCATCCATACATACAGTGAAAGGACCTCCCCACCCCGACCCTAGCCATAACAATTATAAAGTATTATAGCTAGAAGAGACCTCACAGGCCACATTAAGTCTAACCTTTTATTTTTTATACATGACAAAATTGAGGCCCAGATTACAAAATGGACTTGAAGGTCACACACAGAGCAAGTCAGTGCTAGAGCAGGTACTAAAAATTCTTTATCCTCCTGACTCCCATTCTACTCCTCCTCCTACAACTCAGTGCTGCCTCATCATTCTTCTGCTCTTTGTGTCCTCTTCTGGATCTGTGGGTATTGCCACCTTTAAGTATGTGCCTTTGCTGTAATATTCCTTCTGCCAGTAATTAAACTCTCCCTCTGGTGGGGGCTGAGGCAAGGCATGCTCCCCTCCCCCCCATCAGGGGTATCTTAGGATTCTTTCTTAGGTTAACTAGGACTTCCTGGCCCTCCCTTCCTTTCCTCGTGAGATATATTCTACTCACTGCCTACCTCCCACTCTGGGAGGTCCCAAGTCTTAAGACTTAAATCACTCATTTAGTCTCATTTATGAGCAGCTAAATAGTACAATAGAATGCCAGGCCTGAAGTCATCTTTCTAAGTTCAAATCTGGCTTCAGACACTTACTAGCTGTGTGACCTTGAGCTAGTCATTTCACCCTGTTTGCCTCAGTTTCTTATCTGCCAAATGAGCTGGAGAAGGAAATGGCAAACCACTGCAGTATCTTTGCCAAGAAAACCCCAAATAGGGTCATGAAGAGTCAGACAGCACTGAACAACAATAAAGTTTCATTTACTTTCCCTCATTTTATGATGTTCACGCCAACCCTTCAGTATAACCTTTCTCCCCCTTGTCAATTCTGTCCCTCTAAATTGGGAAGTCCCCCCTGAGGTCTTTATTCCCTTCCACTACTCGGCTTCTCTACTCCGGAGGGGATGAGGAACATAGGCCCCTTTCTCTACTCAGAATCTCTTCCCCACAGAGGTTTATGGGAGAACCTAATCTTTGTGGGTAGGGTAAGTGGGTAGAAGGGGAAGAATCAAGAATCTTAATATACACATGCTCAACCAATTTCTAGGTAGCAGAGGGTTGAAGTATGCAATTGTATGAATGGGCCCTACAGCTCCATTCCCATGCATGTTCCAACTTCCTGCCCTCCCTGCCTGCCATCTCCATTTCCTCTATCTCATTTGGAATAGTCTAATATCCTGCCCCACCCCTTGCCTTCAGAGACTGAGATGTGGACCCAAGACAGAGAGTCACACTGAGATCTCCTAGGGAATGGTAGTGTCATGGGCCCTCTCATTAGGCTGAGACTCTGGGTTTACTGAATTTCTCTTAACTAAAGAACCCTGCTTGTCTTTTCTCCTGGGGTGGGAGGGTCATCAAGAAGTGAGGGATGATGAACTCCCATGAGTCCCTGAGGTGAACACCAAGGTTGGCTAGCCTCTAAGATTGCCACTATATTGTAGTTCTTGGTCAATCTCACCCATCCCTCACCCTACTTCCTCCCTTGCTTTTAACAGCCCCCTCCTGTCTTTCCTTCCTACTCACCCCTACAAATACTGGGAATGTAGTTTGGATTTCGGATCCTTCCATAGAGCTTAAATGGGCCAACTGTTTTCTTGGGAGACCTAGAGAGAACTAACTTACCTGGGGGCTCCTCTTCTTCATCCTGTGCAGCTAGTTTCTGAGCTTTGAGGTACTTCCCCTCATCATAGTGAGCCTTACGATGCCACTCAAAATCTTTCTGCACTGTGGAATGGGAGAGAACTAAGCCAGTAGTTCAGCCTCACAACCCCTGCCCCAGCCCTTCCCTGAAAAATCTCACTTTTTTTAGATGTTAACTTGTCCTTGGAGCCCGTGTTCTGGTTATATCCAAACTGAAGAACTTTGGGGCAAAAACTATCCAATGATGCAAACCTGGGGGAGGGGGGAAGAGGGAGCTGGGGGATCTGGAAGAAGGGAAGGGGGGATGGGGATGGTGGTGACAGAGGGCCTCCCAATAGGATGAGAAATCTACAACTCCCATTACCTCAAGGGCAAATGACTCTACCACCAACTCCTTTATGTCAGAGCCTGATGGGAGTTATAGTTTCTTCCATTATATGGGTCCCTGAAGGGAGAACCAATGGACCCAAAGGTTGGGTGCTGGCCAGACTGGCCTGGGTCCTTTATCAAGAACTGAGGCCAAGAAGCCCCCACCTCTCAGTAAGTGCTTCAGGTGACACTGCCTGTGAGGTTCCTGCTCTCAGATCCTCATCACTGTCTTCCAGCCTAAGGATGCGGGGTGTGGCAGGGAAGAGAGGTGAGTGCCCTTGGGGAGAAACAAACATTCATCCATTAAGAATAACCCTCCCCAACTTCTGGTGACTGTCTGGGGTCTAGTTTGCCCTAGGGGCAGGAGGGGACCCTGGGGGAAGCGTTGGTGTGAGGCCAATCACAGCCAAGGTCTGTGTTTCATGTTACTGCTTTCCATGTACTTGATGCATGGGGACCTGTGTTTGGCATGTGACCTGTGGTAGGGTGTGCTGGGCTCATCCACCTTCATGAGTCCACAGTCCTTGCCCAATGGATGGTATGTGGCCAAGATATTCATCTCGTCCCAGTGTTGGGACTTCTTCCTGGATTGGAGGAGTCATGGAGAAGGGAGACCCCCTTCAGAACTTTTGTGCCCCATTTCTCTTGTCAGCTCCTGGGAGACCTGGGGTACTCTAGGCTGAGGAGGTGCTTTCTTAAGTCCAAAACTGACAGCTTGGGCAACTTAAGCTTTTTGTCTCAATTTTTTTCAACTGAAGTTGGACTAGATGTCTAAATCCTTTGATCCTTCAACTTCCCTCACTCCTTTCCTAGTCCTTACTTTCCAAGAGACCTCAGGGGAGTCCCCCCCCCGACATGGGCTCAGCGACTCCTTCTCTCTCATCTCCCCAGCTCTCTCCTCCTTCCTCCCCATGTCTCCGCTCCTCCCCCCCACCCCCTTACTTCTCCCCACAGGGGACTCTCTGAACCAGGATGGAGCTGGTGTTCTTCAGGATGCCCCGGGGTCGCTCATCAGTGGAGCTGAACACTGGGCGTGGACTGAGCCCCACGCAGTACAAGCTGGTGCCAGCCAAGCGCAGGCCAGCGGCAGCCCCATCCTGAAGGCCGGCCCCAGACCCCGCACCACCCGCTCCGGTGGCCCCGACACCCTCCTGCTCCTCCATCTAGCCCCTCCCCGAACCCGGGGCCCGCCCCCAGCTGCCCCACCCCGCCCCTCCGCCCCACATAGCCCCACCCGTGGCCGCGCCCCCACCGCGGCCAGCTGGGGGAAATCCGCACTCCACTCCCCCCCTTCCTCTTCGCTCTCCCCTGGGGCGGCTCTTTCCTGTTGCCCCCTCGCCCCTCCCACCGGGGGAGTGGAGGTGGGCGGAGTCACGGTGCTAGTGTGGGAGTCCCGGAACTCAGCTCCCTTCCCTGCCGCCTCCTCCTTCAGCCTCCTACAGCACCCCTTTTCTGTGTCTCCCTCCCTGCCCCCCCGTACCCAATCTAGCCAATCACAGAGCTTGGACCTGGGGAGGTGGGCTTTCGTCATTGTGACGTCACAAAATTTCTGTCTAGCCAGTGAGGAGTGGGATTGATGAGATAAAGGGGATGCTCGGGCTTTTCGTTAAGGAGTAGCGGTTTAAGATCTTCCCTTGGGTTGTCCGTGAGATTAAACATATTTGGGGGCTTCTCACGTTAGTCTCGATGGAACTAACATTGGTCATTTCCTCTTTCCCAGTCGGTTTCTTCGTTATTAAAAAAAAAAATTAAATTGGAGTGTAGGAATAGTGAAGGTTGGAATTGATGAGTTCAAAAGCCCCCCTCTAGTTATAATTCTTACGCAGCTTCACGTCCAATTTTTGGTTATCCCTTGCCATAGCTACCGTGACAGTTTGCAATGCCTCACTTCATTATGAAACACGGAGGTCTTTAATCCCATTCTCGGTCGAAATTCTAAGAAAGAAGATTCTGGGCATAGAGAAGCGGATTTTTGTGGATCTGGGACTAGACTAGATCAGGTAATTTTAGGACAGGTAATTTAAGGAAAGGTATCCAGCACATTGCATAGGAGCGACTGTTGCAAGGTATCTCCAGACAATTATTGCACAGCAAAGAGGGTATCCCAGATGCCAGTGCCATAGCTGGGGAAGAGCTCCTCGAGCAAAGCCGTAAAAAGCCGAGGTTTCACCTGGGACGGGAAAAAGAAGACAGCACAACACTGGGGCCTCATTACCGTAACGTAACAGGCTGCATGATTTAGACTTAGATAGTCACTGCCTTTGATAAGGAATTGGTATTTCTTTAGGGGAAGTTGGGGCGGGGGCGGGGCGGTGAATGCATTGCAGGAGCTCTCGGTAAGGTGCTTCCCAGCTGTCGTAAAGTAACAGTTGACATACGACTGTTCTGACGTAAAGCAATCTCTTGCCCTTTTGTGTTGCTAGGCAACGGTTTTTCGTGTTGCAGACACGTTAGGGCTTGGAACTAATAACCGATGCTTGCCGTGGTGTCGTAGGATTGGGGGCTGGGCCACACGAGAAACCTCTCTGCTACAAAGCAAACATCAAGGAGGCGTCTCCGTGTCCTCCTTTTCCTCCGCGTCACCAGCTGTCGGTTTGTTCCACGGCCTCGAAACAACGGTACTTCCTAGGCTCACGCCCCTCCGCCATAAAGCGACAGTACCTAAGCGAGAGTTGTGAAAGCGGCATCTTACGCCACTCCGCTGTCGCAAAACGACTCCCCCCCCCCCGTGCCGTAAAGCAAACTCCGCGACTGTCGTCCTCCGCGTTTCGGTTGCCCCCTCCCCTCCTTCAGTGCCTTTTATTTTCGATCCGGTGCCCTCTCCCCGCTACCCTAGCTCAGCCTCACCTCCAGTGGGCGGGGCCGACCTAAGTGGCCGGCAGTGCCGTAAAGCAAAACCACCACCTTCCCTCCTTCCCCTTCGCGTTACCGGGCTAGGTTGCCAGGCTGCCGATAAGCGCAGCTGTCGCGCAGGCCCCGGTGTCAGTCAGCTTCTGAGCGGGCGGCGGCGGCGGCGGCGGCGCTGGGGATGGCGGCGGGGGCGGGGGTGGGTCGGGGACCGGGGCGGGCGGTGGAGGCGGCGGCGGCGGCGGCGGCGGCGGTGGTGGTGGTGGCGGGGAGCTGCACCCGCGCACTGGACGGCTGGTGAGTCTGTCCGGGGGTGGCCGCACGGCGCGGAGGCAGCAGCCGGGCCAGGAGTTCAACCATGGGCTGGTGCTGAGCCGGGAGCCCCTGCGGGACGGGCGAGTCTTCACGGTGCGGATAGACCGCAAGGTGTGGCCCAGACCGGGAGTTGGCGGGGGAGGGACGGGGGGGGGAGGGCCTGTGGGGGGGGGAGTGCGGATGAATTAGTGGAGCAGACGCTCCCCGGGCCAATGAGAGAGGAAGCAGATTGCACCCGGGTAATGACAACAGAGCCGGCCCTACGGGAGCAGAGGCTTAAGGAAGGTGGAGGACGTCCTTCTTTGTTCTGTTTTCTGAGGACACGTCTTAGTAATGGAGATATTCGGACATGAAAAAAGACTCAGGAAAGAGCCAAAGATACTAGTGGAATGACTAGGAAGTCAAGGAGGCAGCCAGATCAAAGAGGAGGGACAAAAGACTAGGAAGGCCTTCGGTCCACCTCAACTGTTTTTTCCTATGCCCCTCTCCCCATCCGACTCCTGATTCCCCGTTTATAGGTGAACTCTTGGAGTGGATCAATTGAGATTGGAGTGACAGCATTGGACCCAGGTGTACTCGACTTCCCAAGTAGCGCCACAGGACTGAAGGGGGGCTCTTGGGTAGTGTCTGGGTGCTCGGTGCTTCGGGATGGGCGTTCAGTGCTGGAAGAGTATGGACAGGACCTGGACCAGCTGGGTGAGGGGGACCGTGTGGGTGTGGAGCGCACAGCTGCTGGGGAGCTTCGACTCTGGGTCAACGGGCGGGACTGTGGTGTCGCTGCTACTGGCCTTCCCTCCCGAGTCTGGGCTGTGGTCGATCTCTATGGCAAGTGCACTCAGATCACCGTGCTGCCCCCCGATCCTGGTCTTAGTACCCCTACACCTCCCCCTGCCCCTGCCCTGCCCCCTGGAGACACTTCTGCTGAGCAGGGGGCCTCCGGAGATGAAGGTGAGATGCCACGATGAAAGGAAGGGTGTCATAGGTTGGGGACACAGGAGACATTTGGGAAGTTGTGTATTTATTATGCAGGGGTAGGGGGAGTGGGAAAATAGGTCGGCACAGTTGGCGTGTGGGAGGGATAGCTGGGAGTATAGTATGTATGGAATAGTTAGGAATTTATTATTTTGAGGGGAAATCATTGGGTATTTGTGGAGTACAAGGGGGCTATGGAGGAACATAGGAAACAACAGAAAGGGAGGATCTGGGAGTCATATGGAATAAAGAGATGTAGGAAGAAAAGGATAGGGGCAAAATAAAAACTGGTGCATGCAGGGCAATTGAAAGGAATGTTTTGGGGGTGAGGGGCTAGACCTGGGAAAGTGTCGTGGTTGAGAGGACCAGGGGTAAGGGCTGGAGACCTTACTCCCTTCCCACCCCCAACCTGGTCCCCAGCCCTCATGCCGCCCCAAGCCCAGGCGCAGCTGGACAAGTTCCCCAACAGCCTTGAGTCGGAGAATGGTGAGGGGGGGGGTGAGGAGGGAGAGGGTAAAGAGGTGGCTGGGTTGAGGGAGAAGAGAGGGATGATGAATAGAAGGGAGGTGGGCAGTTGAAGGGAAGGGCTTTCAAGAAAGGGGAAACAAGCTCCTTAAAGAGCTAGAACTTTATTTTTCCCTTTTTTCCAATTTCTTGACTCCAGGTTTCTCAGGCATGGAGCTTTCAGAAGTAGTGAGTAATGCCATCCTGTCTGCTTACAATGGTGGCCTCCTGAGTGTCAGCCTTGGCTCCCCACCTGCAGAAGGGCCAGGAGCTGGTGCTGGTGGGAGTGGACTCCCTGCCCCAACACCCCTCACCTCTAATGATGCCCTGCTCTTTCATGAGAAGTGTGGAACTCTCATCAAACTTAGCAACAACAACAAGACAGCTGAACGTCGACGACCTCTAGATGAGTTCAACAATGGAGTAGTGATGACAAATCGCCCGCTCCGTGACAATGAGATGTTCGAGGTGGGAACTGTGGTGGCTTTATCCCAGCTTTCTTCTTCAGAATTCTAAATGTCTGATGTTTCAGCTTAGTCCTTTAAGCCCTATTCTTTTGGGGGCCCAGATATTTGATACAATGTCCTTGATAAGTGTGGGGAAGGGAGGTCTTAGGATGGGCCAGAGTTGTTTTTTTTTTCTCAGTTTATCCATGTGTACCGGTAATAGGAGGAGTTAAGCCATGTGCCTTTCTCCTCCATCACCATTCTATTTTTCCTTCCTCTCACCTGCCGACTTCCCTCTGCCCTAAGATTCGAATTGACAAGCTAGTGGATAAGTGGTCAGGCTCCATAGAAATTGGAGTGACAACCCATAATCCAAACAGCCTGGAATATCCTGCAACTATGACCAATCTGCGCTCAGGTACTAGAGAGCTGGGCCCTTAAGGGGAATTGGGAGGAGGTTTCTCAAGACCATAACTAAAGGGAGTAGGGTTTCTCTTCTGTAGGCACCATCATGATGAGTGGCTGTGGAATCTTGACTAATGGAAAAGGGACACGCAGGGAATACTGTGAGTTCAGTCTAGATGAGCTACAGGTGAGAGCCAGGGTTGGGGCTGGTAAGATAGTGGGAAGGGCTGGAGGGACAGAAGTAGTACTTGGTTACTAGATAAATTGGGGGGAGGGTGTGGCAGGGAAGATTTTTTTGCTCAGTCGACCCTTACGATTAAGTCCTAACCTCTGTCCAATAATATAGTTAGATGGGAAGACCCCAGGATTTTGGCTTCATTTGAGTG